ATTGGTCTATGTTTATGTTTTTGTTTCACTATCATGCTGTTTTGTCATATAGTTTGAAATTATATAGTGTGCTGTCTTGGGCTTTGTTCTTTTTGCTGAGGATTGCTTTGGCTATTTGAGCTCTTTATTGCTCCATATAAATTTTAGAATAGGGTTTTCTTACTCTGTAGAAAAAAGTTGTTAGTAGTTGGATAGCAATAGTGTTGAATATATAAATTGCTTTGAGTAGCATGGCAATTTTAACAATATTGATTCTTCTTATCTATGAGCACAGAATGTTTTTCCACTTCTTTGTATCATCTCTGATTTCTTTTAGCAACGCTTTATAATTCTCATTGTATAGTGAGAATTCTTTCACCTTGCTGGTTAGCTATAATCCTAGATATTTTATTCTTTTTGTAGCTATTGTGAATAGAATTCCATTCTTGATTTGCCTATCAGCATAGACAGTACTGACATATAGAAATGCTACTCATTTTTGTACATTTATTTTGTATTCTGAAACTTTGCTGAAGTTGTTTATCAGATCTTGGAGTGTTTGGACAGATGCTATGGGATTTTCTAGATATAGAATCATATTATCTGTGAAGAGAGATAGTTTGAATTCCACTCTTCCTATTTGGATGCCTTTTAGTTCTTTTTCTTGCCTGTGGCTCTGACTAGGACTTCCAGTGTTGTGTTGAATAGGAACGGCGAGAGTGAGCATCCTTGTGTTGTCCAAGTTCTTCAGGGAAATGCTTTGAGTTTCTGCCTGCTCAATATGATATTGGTTGTAGGTTTGTCACAGCCCCTCAGCCTCTTCTAGCTTGTAGGGTTTCTCTTTAAAGGTCTGCTGTTAGTCTGATGGTGTGTGTGTTGGGGGGTGTTAGGCGCATTGCTCGGGTAAAGAGATCGTCAGGCAGGCTTTGTGTGCGCAACGAGGCTTTTTATTTCATGCTTGGGTGGGCCAAGTCCAAGGTAAAGGGGGTAGGAAAGGGGACTGGTTATATAGGTTGGGGCAAATTGTTAAATGTGGTAATCTATCTTAGGGAGGGGAAGGGCATCACGGGATGCATGATCGGGGTCATCTGTTATAAGCAAGCAGGATCATAAGGGTGGGGGTTATCGGTTGCAAGTAGAGGGGAGGATGCAGTAAATTTCATAGTTACAGGGAGGGGGTCTTGAAAAACACAATGTCCAGGGGGGAATTTTCCCAAGGCTGAGCAGGAACTGTGGTTGAAGGTTGCAGGGGAGAGCAATTAGTTGATGCAGGAACAAGTTGTTTCACTTCTCTTTGTGGCCATCTGGTTACTTCAGACTTTCTGGCTCCTGGGGACCATACAGAGGTGTACATGTGGGTCACCAAGGCCATAATGGCCAGGCTTGGACTTGGAGGCCTGACAGGGAGTTCCCTTTGTTTAGTGATTTGCCCTGTCTTTCATGTTGACCTTGGAGAATCTGATGACTGTGTCTTAGGGATGATCATCTTATATAGCATTTTATAGGGGTTCTCTGAATTTCCAGATTTTGAATGTTGACCTCTCTAGCAAGGTTGGAGAAATTTTCATGGACAGTATCTTTAAATATGTTTTTCAAGTTGTCTCCTCTCTCTCCCTTTCTTTCAGGGACTCCAGTGAGTCTCTTTACATAATCCCACATTTTTAGAGGTTTTAAATTTTTTAAAATTATTTTTCCTTTATTTTTGTTTGATTGGCTTAATTGTAAGAACCAGTCTTCAAGCTCTGAGATTCTTCTCTTAGCTTGGTTTATTCTACTGTTAATACTTCTGATTGTGTTAGGAAATTCTTGTAGTGAATTTTTCAGCTCTATCAGATCAATTTGTTTCTTTCTTAAAATGACTATTTTGCTTTTCATCTCTTGTGTTGTCTTATTGGATTATTTAGATTCCTTGAATTAGATTTAAACTATCATCTCAGTCTCAATGATCCCCATTGCCATTCAGATTTTGAATTCTTTGTCATTTCAGCCATTTCATTCTAGTTAAGAACCATTGCTGGGGAGCTAGTGTAGTTGCTTGGAGATAAGAAGACTCTCTGGGCTACAGAGCTGCCAGAGTTCTTGCACTGGTTCTCTCTTACCTGTTTTGGCAGATATTTCTTTTAACTGTGGTATATTTTTAGTATAGCCAATTGACTTCTGAATGTTTTCAGAGCACCGAGGCTTTGTGTAGGGTCTTTATTTGTAGCTGAATTCTTGCCCTTGTTTTCATAGGGAAATATGTTAAAGTATTTTTATTGTTGTAGTTTTGAGTACAAACAAATAGAGGATACTTATGCATAATGGCTGGTAAATAGGCTCTTATTAAGGCATGTGGCTCCTCTGCATTTCCTTGTGTTTGCAACCATGCTCCTTCTCAGTGTGCTGAGAGTGTGGGCTCCTCTTTTACTTCAGTGCCAGCCACAGGTCTTAGCTTGGCATTCCCAGGTTGTGCACTGCAGCCCTGGGGCAAACTCAGGCTTTTTGGTCTTACCCCAGTTGGGGGCAGCAGGACTTGGCAGTGCCAATAGCATAGGTGCTGTCACTTGTCTTTCAGAGCTCCACCTTAAAGGCAGAGCACTGCCAATCAGAACAGTCAGCCAATGGTGAGGCGGCTATGTGAGGGGCCCAAGCCAGGGATCCCTGCCTGGTGAAGAGCAGGAGTGGGGGCTCACTGGGAAGACAGTCTGGTCTTTTCTCTGTAGGTCAGCTGTGGTGTGCCAGAGGCTTAAGTAAAGCACTCAGGCTCTTTTTTTCTTCCCCAGCTTGTTGGTAGCAAGGGTGAGTACTGCTGCAGTAGCAATGGCAGAGGGGCTGGTTGCTAGTCACCTCTGGGAATTCCACCCCAGAGAAACACAGAGCTGCCACAGACTGAAGAGATCAGGCAGAAGTAGGGTGGCTGCGCTGAGGGTTGAGGCCAGGAGGCCCTGCCCAGTGAGGAATAGCATTAGCTAGGACCTGCATGAAAAATAGTCTGGCTGCTTTTTGTATGGCAGGTGTGGCATGCTGGAGACCTGAGACAGTCCTTGAGCTCTATTTTGTCTCTGTAGCCTCAGGGCATGGGGACTGGGGAGACTGTGGCAGTGGCAAAATCTGTGAGCCTGTTGTGTTACCTCTGGAAGCTCTGCCCCAGAGGAATGCAGAGCTGCAGCCCGTGGAAGTTCTCAGGTTGGGGGTCGGGGTTCAGTTATGCTGAGGACCTAGGCTGGTGCGCTTTGCCTGGTGAGGTGTCCCAGAGGTGAAGCCTGCAGTCTGTCCACTCCTCAGTATCCTCAATGGGGCCCTTATTTTCGGGGCACATGGGAGATCCCTGGTTCCCTTGTTGGCAGATCTATGGCAGATGGTCCCAGGGTGCTCAGGAATACAAAGCCCTTGGAGCTCCACATGGGCCTGAGGAGTGGCTCTATTGAGACTCCATGAAGCTTTCTGTGTCAGTCTGGGGGCCCCACTAAGTAGGGTTGGGCAGCATCTCTTGTGCCTAGGTTTGCAAAGGTTCATGGCATAGGTGTGTGTCCCCAGGGGCTCTCACACACTTACTTTTTTCCCATCGTAGGGAGCCTTCCTTGGCTCTGTGCCAATCCCAGGCAGGCAGCTGTCCTGCCTCACCCCTCTCATTGTTGATGAATCCCAATTTGGCCTCCTGGATGATCCAGTTGAAGAGCCACTTGCCACTTAGAAGTTCGTAAGTTGACTTGCCACTCTGTCTCCTCTCTTGTGAAAGCAGTGCACACTGGCTGCTTCTAGTCAGCCATCTTGGCATTAAAATCTAGATTGTATTATGGTTCCAAAATTATTTTTGAATTGCTTAGCCCATACTTCTAGAAAAACAAACCTACTGAAAATATTTTGTGATGTGTGTGCAGTCTCTTCTTCACTCACTTGCCTATGTATTAGGGCATATGTTAAATACTGTACTGATGATTTACCTGTATGAGTTCTTTTTTTCCCTTTTATGGGTTCACTAAGTTTGTTTTTAGTTTTAGTTTCTTCTTATCCTTTGTGATTTTATTGTTTTTTAAATATATGGAACCTGAAACTGATACTAAAAGTAAAAAATATATTAGGTAGACTTAGAGAAGTTCCATTCCTGCCCTAGTTCTCCCCTTTTCATCTTGTAGGTAATCAACGGTATCGTATTTTTATATCTCACCTGTTTCATTTTGTAAAGCTAAATATCTTTCTAATTTCCTTTCTTTTTTTTCTTATTTATCTTTCTTCCTTACCTAAAGGTGGCATACAAATTTTCCCTTTTTCGGATTTTTTTTTTAACTTAATATTATCTCCTGGAAGTCCCTCCAGGTCAGTTTACAGAGATTTTTTTGAATTGCTTTTAGAGCTCTATGTATAGCTGTTTGTACCACATTATTAACCATAATTTTCATTACACTAGAGTTTATAGCAAGCTTGTCCAACCCACCTTATTTTTGTTGTTATGGTTCTGCTTTGTTTTGTTTTAGGCTTTTAGCAACCTAAAGCCATGGTTTTTATTTTCTGTCTTTAGTGACAAGTGGAAAAGAAGAATGATGAAAGGCCTTTACTGGCCCAACCAGAAACAGAAAATAAGAATCCATAACTGTATTCTCTCCTTGGACACCCCTAGAACTTTATAGTATATACACTGGCTTATTCAACCAATATCCAAGGCTTGAACATTTACGTGGTTTTGAGTATTTTGTAATTACAAATAATGCCGTAATGATAAACTTGTACATATGCACTTTTATTGTTTGTTTTATGACATGTGTATGATCTATACAATCTGAATACCCTAAGATAAATATAGTTTAACTATATATGATTCCTAGAAATGTTTATAAAATGACAAAGCATCAACATACAGCCATTAAAATTCTTTTGAGCATTTTCTCATCAAATCTATCATTGTTGTAATTTAATTATGATTTTGTAGAAGTGAAGAGAATGCTCATGTAAATGTTTTATAAATTTGAAATATAGAAATTTCACAATAGATTCATTTTTTAATTTAGTGGAGTAAATGTATTAAATGTATATTCTTTACGTAGCTCAAAATGAGGTAACAAATGAAGGGCTTGTAGTTGAGTATCAAGAATCAATGTCAAAAACTAAATTGGAAGTAAAGCAACAAGAAAATTCTGCAGAGCAGCAACTCACCAGTAAGTATAAGATTTACGCATAACTTTAAATTATTTTAAATTAGTCACAGCAAAGGTATTTTTCTTCAGTTTATGAATCTGTTTTTTATTATATATTTTATACAAATTTTACCTTGAATCTAAAATGTGAATACCATAAGATAACTAGTGACTAACTAGTAAACTAACCAAACTAACTTTTGGTTAGTTTTTCTGCTTGTAACAGATAGCCATGGTCATGTGCTCAATATTCACCAAGGACAATAACAGGCCACTAATTGTCTTTCAAAAAGTGTGTACCTTTTATCCAACTCTAGACAAGTCCAGAAGCCCAATTTATTCTGCTAACCTGTTCAGTAAACTTCTTCAATCAGTGAACAGAAAGTTTGCTGAGACTTGTAACTCAAATGAAGATCAAAGGGGCCAATTTATTCATAACTTTACAAAAATGAGAGAAAATGCCACTGCATACTTGTAAATTTTAAATCTATGGCTTTCAAATAGATTTATTTTTAATTTAGCAAACTAAACACATCTCTTTCTGTAGCTCATGATGAAGAACCAGATGAAAATCTTATACTTAGGCATCAAGACTCAGTGTCAAAATCAGAAATGCAAGTGAAGGAACAAAGAACTCTCAAAGGGCAAATAATTACTAGTAAGTATAAAGAGTAAAGATAACTTTACATTATTTAAAAGTAAGTTCATCAGAAGGTATTTTTGCTTTGGGTCACACATTTTTACACTTTGTCTAAAATGTGAATTTATTCTCTAAAATTATTAGAGAAAAAAGGGAAAAATATTGATACGCTTTGGTTGAGATTTCTGGCCCTAAGATTATTTCATGACCACAGGACACACAGTACCCCCTAAGGCTTTATAACAAGTGTATACTTGTCATTTCAATGTTAGGTGCCTTTCAGCCAACTCAAAGTAATTATGGGCCCAACCACTTAATGGGCACCTCTCACCTGTGACCTTCTGCCATAGGCACCAATCAGCAAAGATAGTCCTAAGATCTGTAACTCAGAACAGCAAATGGGGATCATAAGAACCTAGGGGAAGGTAACCTAGGATACCTGTTTAAGGGCCTCTAGGGCATCCTTTTGGTTATGGCTCCACTGACATCAAACAGTCTTTCTGGTAACCCCCTAGATCAGGCGTCCCCAAACTACAGCCCGCGGGCCACATGCGGCCCCCTGAGGCCATTTATCCGGACCCCCTCCGCACTTCAGGAAGGGGCACCTCTTTCATTGGTGGTCAGTGAGAGGAGCACAGTATGTGGCAGCCCTCCAACGGTCTGAGGGACAGTGAACTGGCCCCCTGTGTAAAAAGTTTGGGGGACGCCTACCATAGATGAATTAATGTCATCAATGATCTCATGGAGGGAAAATGAGAATGTATTTATCCAAACAATTTCATTAACTGCTGGGCTTTTTTTTTTTTTTTTTTGAGATAGAGTCTTACTGTCTTGCCCAGACTGAAGTGCAGTGGCCCAATCTGAGCTCACTGCAACCTCTGTCTCCCATGCTCAAGCCTCAGCCCCCTAAGTTGCTGAGATTACAGGCATGTGACACTACACCTGGCTAATTTTTGTATTTTTAGTAGAGATGGGGTTTCACCATGTTGGTCATGCTGATCTCAAACTCCTGACCTCAAATAATCCATCCACCTCGGCCTCCCAAAGTGCTGGGATTGCAGGTGTGAGCCATTGTCCCCACCCTGGGCTTGTTTTTGTTAGACTAGAAAGGGTCAAAGCTTGGTAGTCTCTTCTGGAATGAGATGTTACCCCTTAGAAATCAATCCTAAGCATTTTCATCCTGATACTAGGTAACTGTATCTTGTCTGAGCTAATTGCCCAGCTAAGAGGCACTGATGGGTCATTAGAGCATCCAGTCCTTTTGGGTGATGTCCTTGCTTGAGTTCACTTAAATAATATAATCAATATAATGGAAGGCTAGTCCTCCCCTTGGGACCAGTTCATTTAGAGGTCATTATGCATTGATGACAGTTTTAGAGCAGTTTGATAGCCTTGTGGAAGGATATCAGTTATGTTTTCCAACTTATTCTATGTAAGACCGAACTGAGCATCTAGGTGAAAAAAAGATGTGGAAAGGCATTTGAGATGTCAGTTGTTGCAAACCAAGTTCCCTCAGTTTGGAAAATACCCTGAATGGCAACTATACACTCATGTGCCCTTGGTGCCTAGAGCTGTAATATAGAGTTGGACCAGCAAAATCAATTGAGTCATTATGCACCTGAGGCCGTGTACAAGATCTACTTAGTTATTGAATGAAGAAAGAGTCTCATGGAGAACTTTTACTTCATTAAGCTCAACAAACGACAACAGCCATTTCTTTTTCTTCCTAGGAAGCTATTTTGGAAAACAAAGCTGCTAAGTGCTATTAATCTGAATATTTACACTCTTCCACATGCCCCACTAAAATGACCTTAAATGCTGAAGTTCCCATCAGGGATTGGGATGAATGCAAGTGGAGGTTCACATAGAAAAAAAATATATATATATACCAACAATACATATGGTGGGGGAAGGGAATAAAATACAGTTTTGTAGTTGTCCGAAAGGATAGTCTCATGGTAGTGTTTGACCAACGGTCCTGTTGGTGGTGATCTCAGATGCAAATCTAGAGAGCACTGCTTCTTTTCCCCAGAAGTTGTGGGGATCACAGCCACCTGTGCACCAGTATCCTAATGGCCCTACAAATGCAATTTCCTCCCACCTTCCCTTTAAATTCTAATCTTACCATACATTCTCAGATTGCCACTGATGATATAGGGATCTTGGCCTAACTCTTAATTTTTATTTTTGAAAGCATGAAGTTTGAGCAGAAGTAGTGGAGGGTTCTCTGACTTATTTCAATATCACTGGGAGGTGCAGAGGGAAGAGTACTTTTATTAGTTGTAGGGGTCATCACAGTCTAGATTTAGTGGAGCTGTGTTTTGGGACTCATGGCCCACTATCTGGCCAGAAAATCTTTGGTGAAAAGTCCATCAATGTCCTACTTCAGACTCCATCATTGATTAACTAGACTCAGATATTTCTTGGGGAGAGCCCCAAGATCATCCAGGAATAGGTGACAAATTACCATTTTTAGGTCACCCTGCTCACTGGTCACACATTGCTATCTTGGTGGTAGATGTTTTTTCTGTGCCCAGAAATTTGTCAATTAAGGTCTGGATTGTGCCACAAATTAATCGACATTACCTTATAAGGAAGTTTAATTGAGCTAGGTAACTAGTGATGGTGGCTATGAAATGAAACTAGAGATCTGAGTCTGGCCAAATCTTGTCATTACTGTCCTCACTCCATCAGTGACCTTAGAGACAGCAGAGTGGCTCAAGGGGCCATTATAGCCTCTGTAGTTGATGGCTCAGACATGTTTTTCAGTAGCAGGGAGCTCATCATGGGAGGCAATCCTGTTAGAGCCAAAAATAGTGCCCAACCGAGGAGGGAGAGGATTTCAGATGTTTACATCATTTGTCCCCTTTCCTCCACTTCCTTAGGCAATATGAGCACTGTCAAGGCTCTCTGAAGGAGGTATTCTGTGGTGATAAGCCCCACAATATGCTCCTCTCACTTGCTAAGTTAAACAAGATTATCCCCTTTATCGTGAAGGCACACACTACCCACATCACTTAGTTGCTGGGCAAAATGATCATCAGGACTCTACATTGTTTTTCATTAAAGCGTGAGTCTGAATAACTGACTGCATTGCAGGCTGTCTACCAGTTTTAGGGGAATGCCTATGACTAAGAATAGTTATTAGGATAACTATTAACTATTAATAGCAACTCGGTGTGCAGTCTCTCCAACTTTTTTGAGCTTATTAACTTAGGACCATGAGCAGTAACCACAAGATTGCTTCCCTAGCTGTCTCAGAGCCCATCTGCTGAATTTTTTCATTTGACTCATTGGAAATCTTGGTATGTGAATCAGAGGATAAGAAGATTGTTGCTCCCTGTCAGAATTGAAAACCTCCTCTAAACAATACATGAGCATTCTAGAAAACCCCATGGTGTCTACTGGCACATTCTAAAACATGGTTGATTGACATGACTGGCAGAGTGCCCTGTGGGATGCTGAGTCCCTTGCAAATGATCCAGTACCCCTTCCACTGAGAGTATCCTGCAGGCTCACAAGCATCGACCAAAGTGTTCCTTCAAGAAAGGCTTTGTGCTTCATTGGTCACCCTGCTCTTTGTGGTAGTTTGTCAGAAAGAGAAATGCCAGTTTTTGAGTTGGTCTATTAAGATAACACGCCGAGGCGGGTGGATCACGAGGTCAAGAGATCGAGACCATCCTGGTCAACATCATGAAACCCTGTCTCTACTAAAAATACAAAAAATTAGCTGGGCCTGGTGGTACGTGCCTGTAATCCCAGCTACTCAGGAGGCTGAGGCAGGAGAATTGCCTGAACCCAGGAGGCAGAGGTTGCGGTGAGCCGAGATCGCGCCATTGCACTCCAGCCTGGGTAACAAGAGCGAAACTCCGTCTCAAAAAAAAAAAAAAAAAAAAAAAAAAAAAAAAAAGATGACACGCCAAACTCAAAGTAACAATTAACTGTATGCACTTACTGGCATATTAAGCCATAGCCTAGACAGAGGCAGGTCCCCAGCTACACCAGTGCCCCATTTTACCCCGTAGAACAGCAGTACTTAGCAAGGGTCAAAGCATCGGTGTAGCCCTGTAGACTGTGTGAGTGGTCATGGGTCGGGGTTGTCTCATAGTGGAGGGAGCTGCAAACAAGAAGCTATTTTCCATTTTATGGATCCTGAGGCTGAGTTAGCTGGAGCTCTGAATCACACGAATACTTTTAGTTATTTGCTCCCTGTTCTAATTCCTCTCAAATTGAGTTAGACTTGGTTAACACATACTAGAACAACAAACCAACTAAAAAGATTCCATGATTTGTTTGCACTCCACCCCTACCTCTCATGTCCAATCATGAGGGTTTATGTCAAATACTATATTGATGAGTTATTGCTTTTATTTTTTCTTCAATAATTTCATTATTTCCTTTTAGTTTTCATCCCACCTTCTTCTCCTTGTTGATTTATTTTCGAAATCTGTAAAAGTTGAATCTTTTATTTTTGAAACCTGAAGTAGGACATGAATCTATTTTCAAAAGTTAAAAAAATGCAAAAATTATATTTAGAAGAGTCTATTTTTCCCCAGTCCTCCCCCCTCATTTTGTAGGTAACCAACAACATTGTTTCTGATATCTTTCCTCTGCTTCTTTTTGTACAGATAACTATCTTTCTATTTCCTTCTCTATTTTTTTTTCTCATTTCTTTGTCTTCCTTCCCCAAAGATGGCATTCAAGGTTTCCCTTTGTAGATATTTTTTTCCTTCACATTATTCTTTGAAATCCCTTCAAGTCAATTTATAGACATGTTTAATTTGTTTTACAGTTACAGTTGTTTACACCACATTATTTACCATATGTACTACCATAGTGTGTAGTACAACACATCCTTGAATAACATCATTTTATTCAACATCGTTTGATTATAATGTTAATGAGAAAAAAAATGGATTCCTATCCAAGCACATAGTCTGGGGTTGACACATTCTCCCTGTGTCTGCCTGAATTTTTTCCAGGTGCTCCAATTTTCTCCCACATTTCAAAGATACGTATGTTAGGTAAATTGGTGTGTCTGAATGGTCCCTGTCTGAGTGAGTGTGGGTATGTGTGTGAGTGGGCCCTGAGTGAGTATGGGTATGTGTGTGAGTGGGCCCTGAGTGAGTATGGGTATGTGTCTGAATGCGCCCATTCTGTTGAGGGTTCGTTCCCACCTTGGGCTCTGAGCTGCTAGTATAAGTTCCAACCACCTGCAACCCTTCGGTGGAATAAGGGGGTTGGAAAATGAATGAATGAATGGATACAAATTATTGTAAAATAAATATTTACAAAGTAGACAATAATTATACAAATGCATGACAATAAACAATGCAGTACAAAAGCACTCTATAAGCCACATTTTGTTATTGTTTTTAAATTGCATGATGACAGGAGATGTTCCTTATAATTTTGTTTTGCTTTTGATTTATTCTTTCAAATAAATCAAGAAATTTATTCCCTGACTTACCACCACTATGACAACCATCACTCACTGATTAACCACAAATTTGGTAAATAATTACCTTACTTGTTTTTTTTTCTTAATTCTATATATAGCTCACATTTGTTTTAGTGTTTAATATTAGAAGTGCTTTGAGTCTTTATTTAGAAGTTTGTGATGTTTATGTTACAAAAAATATGCTATAGGAACTTAACTCTTGTTTATGTCAATTAGCCTATGGTAAAATGGGTTTCATTATATGTCATTTTGCTTAAGGTCACAGTTTCCAAGATTCTATTAATGTCATTAAGTGAGGACTTACTGTATTTTATTCATTATGTGGTTTTAATATTTTGCAGTTACATATGTGATATAATAAATAACATTTTACACATGTATTTTTATTTCTGTAAAAATGTATTAACCTAAAGTATAAATAACCTAAGGAAACTAGTGACTAATATATATTTGATGCCTAGAAATGTTATGAAATAATGAGCTTCAACATGCAGCCATTAAAAATGTTCTTACAGTATTCATGTCACATCTGGATTTATGGTAATTTACTTACAAATTTGTCAAAATGAGAAAATTTTGCTATACAATGATAAGTTTGACATCTAGAGATTTAACAGTAGGTCTGTTTTTCTGCTAAGAGACTAACTGCATCTTCTTGTGTAGCTCGTGATGAAGAACCAGACAAAAATCTTGTCCTTGAGCATCGAGATTCAGTGTCAAAACTTGAAATGCAAATAAAAAAAACAAAAAAACTTCCCATAGAGAAAAGACATAGTAGTAAGTATAATTATAGGTAACTTTAAATTTAAAAAGTTAATCTCATTAGATCTTTTTTCTTTGGTTCATGACTATGTAGTTGAGCATATAGTTTATAGAAGTTTAAAGTGTGAATACCTTAAATTAACTAGGGAAAGAAAGCCATATGATATTTGGCTGGCATTTCCGGTCTTGAGACTATTTTATGGCATGCTTATGTGCTCGGTGTCCACCAGGACTCAATAAAATCATTAATCTGTCAAAGGGTGTTTATTTTCAGCCATCTGTAGGAGATTATGGGTCCAACTGTTCAACAGGAACCTTGGGACCTGTGGTGGTATCCTTCTGTCATAAACTCTAATTGGCAAACAGAGAGGTTGCTGAGATGTGTAACTCAAATGGCAAAATGTATCAGAGAAGGCAAGAGGAAAAACAACTTGTGTGGTCATTGGAGGGCCTCCAGAGCATCCTATCTTTAGGCAGCACCTAAGAGTAGAAGTCTTCTTGGTAACCTGATAGATGGTTTCATGAAGATGCCCATGAATGGAATGTAAGAGCACCAGTCTGGGCTTTCCTTTTATTTTTGGGGTCTGAGAGTGACTAAAGCTTGGCAATTGTCTCCTCTGGAGTGAAGCATACTGTCTCTTCCCAGTTTATTTACAGGAATTTCACATGAGTCGTAGGTCTTTATACCTTGTATTAATGGCTCAGCCATGTTGCCACCTGTGGGTCAGCATAGCATCTAGCCCTTGGTGGGTAGTGTTTTTGTCTGGGCCTGGTAGAGGATGTGATGAATATAGTGGAAGGCTAGTACTTCATCTGGGTGTGGAAGGAAGGAAGCCTTGAAGAAGGACATTAAAGGTGTAATGAAGCCCATTTAATGTAAGACAGACAGATCTTGATCATCTTTGTGGACAAGGATGCCAAAAAGGGCATTTACAATGTCAATTGCTTTATAACTATTTCCCTCAGCTTGGGTGGTAGCCTCTATGATAGTCATAATGCCAGGTAACACCAGTGTCAAAGACAGAACTATGGGATTGAGCCACCAATAGTCAATTAAGTTTCCAGGTACACAATGCCTTAATCAAAGGCCAGATGGTGAACTTTGGCTTCCTTAAGCACAGAAATGAAGACTTTTTAAAATCCCCAAGACAGTTGATAGTGTTTTTAAGAGACAAAGACACTAGGTTATAGTAGTCTGGCAGGTTTAGTCTTCCATATTCCCCACTAAAATGGTCCTAATTGCAACAATTCCCCTCAGGGATTGGGGGTGAATACAGTCAGAGGTAGACATAGACAATACATCATAACAATAACCCATTCAGTAATGGGTGCCATAATAATGGAAGTATATAGTGGCTTGAAGAGAACTACCTGTAGTCAGATCAGGATTTTGGTGGTGGTGGCTTCTCAGTGAAAACCAGGGAACATTATCTATTTTCTCCTAATTCTCATGCCAGGGATTTTGGGGATCACAGTCACCTGTGCACTATTATGCAAAAGGCCCAAGAAATGAAATTTTCCATGTTTGCTTTGAACTTTAACTTTGATATAGGGCCTCCGTTCCTCACTAGGGACATAGGGACATTGGCCATGTCATAGTGTTGTTTGTTGTTGTTGTTGTTGTTGTTGTTTTGCCAAAAGATTTGAGTAAAACTGTCAGGGCACTCTAATTCATTTCAAAATTCGCTGGGAGAAGAGGAGAACAGCATTTGTATTATTCATAGGGGCCAGGAATGGGCAGAACCTAGGAGGCTGCCATTGAGCCCATGATGGCACACTACCACCAGGCCATGAGTTCCCTGGTGACGAGTCCATTAATCTCCCTTTGTGAGTCCTTATTGTTGGGTAACCAAACCCAGAGATCTCTTTGGTGAGGCCCTTACCCAGATCATTGAGGAGTGTGTGCCCAGTGACTATTGTTATGTTGCTGTCTCTCATGGAGTCTCTGCTTTTTTGTAGCAGTTGCTTTTTCCATGCTGAGGAATTTGTCGTGTTTAGACTGTTGCTTGCAGTATCACAGTAAGTGAATAAAATTATGATCTAGATCAGTGGTCCTCAACCTTTTTGGCACCAGAGAAAGTGAACAAACTTTGAACAAAAATTGTTTCATGGAAGATAGTTTTTCTGTGGACCAGGGCCGAGGTGGGGGCTGGTTTTGGGATGATATGAGTGCATTACATTTATTGTACATATTTATATTATTACTTTGTAATATGTTATGAAATAATTATACAACTCACTATAATGTAGAATCAGTGGGAGCCCTGAGTTTGTTTTCCTGCAACTAGACAGTCCCATGTGAGGCTGATGGAAGACTGTGACAGATCATCAGGCATTAATTCTCATAAAGAACACACAACCTAGATCTTTCACATGCGCAGTTCACAACAGGGTTTGGCTGCTGATCTGACAGGAGGCAGAGCTTAGGAAGTAACTAATGCGAGTGATGGGGAACAGCTGAAAATACAGAGGAATCTTCACTTGTCCAGTGCTCACCTACTGCTGTGTGGCCCCTTTCCTAACAGACTAAAGACCAGTACTTGTTCATGGCCTTGGGGTTGGGGACACCGATGTAGATTATTTCGCTGACCAATTCGCCTAACCTTAGAGGAGGTTTAATTTTAATTTGGCTCCATAACCAGTAGGAGTGACACTAATAAATCCGAGTCTTGTTAAAAATCTTATCATTGACTGTTCTCACTCTCATCATTGAGACCAAGAAACCACCAGTATGGTTTGTAGGGCTGTATAGCCTCTGCAACCATGGTCTAAAAATGTATCTTAATCATAGGGAAGATAAGCATGGGTGTGCCAAAGTCGTCAGAACCCAAATAGAACCCAGTTGAAAAAGAAAGGTTTGGGTGTTCCCTTCTCATTCTCCCACTTTGCTTATCCTCCTTGGGCAAAACCTCTGCTGTCATGACACTCTAAAGTATGCCTTCTAGAGTGACACAACCCACAAGGTACCACTAAGTTAGTTTAACAAGATTATTTTTTTCATCATGCAGGCAAACAACCCATGCCTCTAAGGTCTTCTGGGTCACAAAGAAAAGCAATCCCAAAGGGCTCTCCATTCTTTCTATTTAAACCATGATTCTCAATCCCTTGCTGGGTCATAGGCTGTCTGTCATTGCCTGATACCTCTCTGGAACTAACAGCAGTTATTGCTGCAAATTAGCTCACAGGTTCTCTGAAAACTTTCAATCTCATCTCCAGGGGACAATAGCAGTGGCCAAGGAAATGCTTCTCTAGCTTTCTCAGAGGCGCTCTGTTGGATCTCTAATTTGACCTACCATGCATCTTGGCCTGAGAGTCTAGGGCTAAAGAGAAGGACCACTGGTGTCCCTTAGAACCCAGAAGCTATGTAAACAATCTGCTAGCACTCTCTGAGAGTGCCCCATGGTGTTAGACAGAATTTTCTAAGACCCACTGATAGGGCTGGCAGAGTGCACCATGGGACAGTCTCTTGCAAATGATCTGCTAGTATCCCCCAAGAAGTCTCATGAACTCTAGCATCTCCCACAAATGTCCTGGGGATCTGCATGCTTTTTGCTTTTCCAGAAAGGCATTGTGTTTAATTGCCCACTCTGCTCACAGCCATTTGTCACCAAGAGAGCTGCCAAGTGTGAAGGTGATCAATTAAGAGAGCAAGCCAAGTTGAAAGTAACAAGCCTTTATTCACTTACTGCAACAACATAAGCAAGAGTCTAAACATGAAAGGTCACTGGCTCTATCAGTGTTTCATTTTTCCACAGAATGACATTGGGCAAGGATAGGATGTATCTGCACAGTTGGGAGGGGAACTTCTTACTGTATGTACAGCCATGTGTACCATATCATTTACCATATATATTCATGCACACGTAGATACACATAACTATATACCACAATTGATATTATATCATTGTTTGTAGTATACATGTACATGTATATATAGGGGTGTGTGTGTGTGTGTGTGTGTGTGTGTGTATCTGTAAATCAGTCCCCTATGCTTGAAAATATCAATGGATTTGGATAGTTTGCAATTACAAATAACACTGTAATGAATGACCTTGACCATATGCATTTTCATTGTTTGGTCTATGATTATATATTAACCTAAGATATAGATAAGGAAAGTAGAGATTAATATAAAACACATTTAATATGTAGGAATATTTATGAAATAATAATACATCTTCAACACACATTGAAACTTTCCTCACCATTTTCACATCAGATCTAGCATTAAGGTAGTTTACTTATAACTTTATAAGATGAGAGAAAATGTTGCTTCCACTTGTTATAAATTTGAAATCTAGGATTTCATAGTAAATTTATTTGTGTGGTAAGGGACTAAATTTCTATCTTAACATAGCTCATGATGAAGAATCTGGTGAAAATCCTGTGCTTAAAAATCAAGATTCAGTGTCAAAAATCCAGGTGCAATTGGAGAAAAAAGAAACTTCTGGAGAAGGACATAGCAGTAAGTATAATGATGAAAGCTATTTTATATTATTTTAAATTAATCTCAAAAGAACTTTTTTCTTTGGTTCATACTTATGTATTTGAGTACATATTTTATAGAAAACTTATATTCTAAAGTGTTGAGTACATCTATTTTATAGACTCTAAACTCTAACATAACTCAAGAACAAAAACAAAGGTATTGATATGTTTTGGTCAGAATTTCTTGTCATAATATTATTATGCAACTTAGTTTATGCTCTCACTATCCATCTCAGGATAATAACAGGCCAATAATTGTCTCATGAAAGATGGGTGCCTTTCAGTTGCCTCTGGCCATCTATGGGCACCTCAGATCTGTGGTAGTTCCAATCAGCAGGCAGAGGTATTGCCGAGAACTGTAACTGAAGCAACAAATGGAAATCAGATAGGTTCTGGAAAAGGGCAGCCAGGGTGGCCAATAGAAGGATTTCCAGGGTATCATGTTGGTCAGAGCCCCACCCAAAGGTAGTAGTCTTTATGGTAACCTGATAGAGGTTGCTGTCCGTTCTCTGTGGCTTGAATGTGAGCTTGCCAGCAAATGAATGGTCCCACCAATTGCTCACATTATTTCTACTTTTGGAGTCAAGGCTGGCCAAAAGCATGACAGTCATCATCTCTGGAATGGAACACCATAGCCCTTACAAATTACCCTGGAATTTTACTTGGGCTTTAGGTCCTTGTGCCTTGTCCAGTGATAATGGCACAGTACATGCTGCATGTAGGTGAACAGAGCATCTGGTTCCTATTGGGTAATGTCCTTGTCTGCAAGTGACTTTAGGAGGCTGCCTAGGATGATTTAATAAACAGTGTGGAAGGCTAATGCCTCTTCCAGGAGTAGAACTTTGTCCAGGTTGTAACCTATGCATTGATTACAGATAGCTGGAGAACTTTGGAAGCCTTCTGGAAAAATAATAGTGGTGTATTGCAACCTATCCTACATAAGGCTAACTAATCCTGATCATCCACGTGGAGAGGAATGCTGAAAAGATATTTGCTTTATCAATTGGTACATATAAAGTTCCTTCATCCTGAACAGCAGCCTTTTTAACTGTCACAATGTCAGGTACCACTGGTGCCAAAGGCAGCACTTACTTTTTTTAGAGCCCCTATCAGTATAGGGTTTAGGCACCTGAGGTCTTTCACATAGGCCAGATGGGTCTATTGAATGTAGAAATAGTGTACAAATAATTGGCCTCTTAAAGCTCAGCAATGAGGGAAATTATTCCCTTTTTTATCCCCAGAGTGTTAATACTGGTTTTGGTAGACACTGGTACTAGGTGCCAGTAGTTTAGCAGGTCATGATCTTCCACATATCCCACAAAAATATCTGGACTGCAGCAAATCCCATCAGGAGGTGGGTATAAATGCTAGTGTTGGTTCATATAGAAAATATATTTAACCAGTAATATATTCACTAGTAGAGGCCATGACAATATGGGTTTGTAGTGGTCCAAAGGGCACCCATAGTTGGTTTAGAAAGAGGTCCTGTTGGTGGTGACCTAAGATTAAAAACTAGAAAGAATTATTTGTTTCCTCCTCATCCTCATGTCAGGGATTGTGGGGATCAAAGTAATTTGTTAACCAGTAACCAGAAGGCCCAAGAAATGTCATTATTTTCCCACTCCCGCTTCAAAGTTTGACCTAGATGATAGGTCAGACTTCTTTCAGGAGTGGAACTTTGTCCAGGTTGTAACCTATGCGTTGATTAGCTGGGAAATTTTGGAAGCCAGGTCCTCAGGTCCCCACTGAGGACATAGAGACCTTGTACTAGCCCCTAGTCATGTTCATTTATGAAAGATGAGAGATCTGGGTAAAAATAGAAAGGGTCTGTATGTTAGACCCTACAATGTGTCCCTCTAAATTTGATAAGTTTGCTTTCTTCATTGAGGATTCAAACTACTCAAGTCTCAAAACTGACTGAGAGAGTTAGAGAAAATAGCACTCATACTGTTCATAATGAACATCACCATATGGACCGTAGCGCCTGGTGGCTCACTATCTGTTGGAGGGCCCATCAATCATACTCCTTTGAGACCCTGTTATCTGGTGACCAATCTCATAGATCTCCTCTAGAAGACCATGGCATGGATTGAGCAGCAGAGGGCACCTGATTGCCATTTTTATAACACTTCATTGGCCAGTGTTTGCTATGTGGGCAGCAGCCATGTTTTCCATGCTGAAAATTTACCAGTTCACATCTGGACTGTATCTGATTGATATGACTTTATGAGGCGGTTTGATAACCAGCAGAATTGAAGCAAACGAACCTAGAAATCTGAGTTTGGTCAACAATCTTATCATCTGCTGTTTTTCTTCTCATTGTGCTACCAAGGGACTACCAGGGTAGCTGGCCAGGATACTGTAAGAAGCCATTTGTTGATTCTCTAAGTTGAATCACTGTGGGAGCTTGGATAGAAAACTAGGGGCTATATTCCCAGGCAGATGGCTGAATAGGAATAGCTCCAGCCTGCAGCTCCCAGCGAGACCAATGCAGAAGGCAGGTGATTTCTGCATTTCGAATTGAGGTACCTGGTTCATCTCACTGGGACTGGTTAGACAGTAGGTGCAGCTCACAGAGGGTGAGCAGAAGCAGGTGGGGTATCACCTCACCCAGGAAACTTAAGCGGTCAGGGAACTCCCTCCCCTAGCTAAAGGAAGCCATGAGGGACTGTGCCGTGAGGGACAGTGCTATCTGGTCCAGATACTATACTTTCTCATGGTCTTGGCAACCTGCAGACTAGGAGATTCCCTCTGGTGCCTACACCACCAGGGACCTGGGTTCCAAGCACAGAACTGGGCAGCTGTTTAGGCAGACACCGAATTAGCTGCAGTAGTTTTTTTTTTTTTTTTTTTTTTTTTTTTTAAATTGAGTTTCACTCTTATCACCCAGGCTGGAGTGCAGTGGTACAATGTTGACTCACTGCAACTTCCACCTTTCAAGTTTAAGTGATTATCCTGCCTCAACCTTCTGAGTAGCTGAGATTACAAGTACACACCCCCACACCCAACATATTTTTGTATTTTTAGTAGAGATGGGTTTCACCATGTTGGCCAGGCTGGTCTCAAACTCCTGACCTTGTGAATCACCCGCCTCAGTTTCCCAAAGTGCTGGGATTACAAACATGAACCACCATGCCTGGCTAACTACAAGAGGTTTTTTTGTACCCTAGTGGCATGTGGAACAGCAGCAAGACAGAACTATTCATCGCCCAGGAAGGGGGCTAAAGCCAGGGAGCCTAGTGATCTTGCTCCATGGATCCCACCCTCACAGAGCCCAACAAGCTAAGATCCACTGGCTTGAAATTCTTGCTGCCAGCACAGCAGCCTGAAGTCAACCTGGGATACTCGAGCTTGGTGTGGGAGAGGGGCTTCTACTATTACTGAGGCTTGAGTAGGCAGTTTTCCCCTCACAGTATAAACAAAGCCACCAGGAAGTTCAAACTGAGTGCGGAACCCACCGCAGCATGGCAAAGCCACTGTGGCCAGGCTGTCTCTCCAGATTCCTCCTCTCTGGATAGGGCATTTCTGAAAGAAAGGCAGCAGCCCCATTAGGGGCTTATAGATAAAATTCCCATCTCCCCGGGACAGATCACCTGGGGGAAGGGGCAGCTGTGGGCACAGCTTCAGCAGACTTCAACATTTCTCCCTGCTGGGTCTGAAGAGAGTAGCAGATCTCCCAGCACAGTACTTGAGCTCTGCTAAGGGCTTGAGGACCTACTGCCTCCTCAAGTGGGTTCCTGACACCCATGCCTCCTGATGGGGAGACACCTCCTAGCAGGGGTTGACAGACACCTCCTACAGGAGAGCTCCAGTTGGCATCTGGTAGGTGCCCCTCTGGGATGAAGCTTCCAGAGGAAAAAGCAGGCAGCAATCTTGGCTGTTCTGCAGCCTCTGCTGGTGATACCCAGGTAAACGAGATCTGGAACAGACCTCTAGCAAATATCAGCAGATCTGCAGAAGAGGGGCTGGTCAGAAGGAAAACAAACAGAAAGCAATAACATCAACATTACCAAAAAGGATGCCCGTGCAAAAAACCCCATCCAAAGGTCACCAATATCAAAGACCAAATGTAGATAAATACCCGAAGATGAGGAAAAAACAGTGCAAAAAGGCTGAAAATTACAAAAACCACTCTTCTCCTCCAAAGTATTACAACTCCTTGCCAGCAAGGGAACAACACTGGATGAAGAATGATTTCGACAAACTGACAGAAGTGGGCTTCAGAAGGTAGATGATAACAAACTCCTTGGAGCTAAAGGAGTATGTTCTAACCCAATGCAAAGAAGCTAAAAACCTTGATAAAAGGTTATAGGAACTGCTAACTAGAATAACCTGTATAGAGAAGAACATAAATGACCTGATGGAGCTGAAAAACACAGCACAAGAACTTCGTGAAGCATACACTAGCATGGATAGTGGAATCAATTAAGCAGAAGAAAGGATATCAGAGATTGAAGATCAACTTAATGAAATAAAGCACGAAGACAATATTAGAGAAAACGGAATGAAAAGAAATGAACGAAGCCTCCAAGAAATATAGGGCTATGTGAAAAGACCAAACTTAATGAGTCATTGGTGTACCTGAAAGAGACAGGTAGAATGGAACCAGGTTAGAAAACACTATTCAGGATATTATCCAGGAAAACTTCCCCAACTTAGCAAGAGGGGCCAGCATTCAAATTCAGATGATACAGAGAACACCACAAAGATGCCTCTCAAGAAGAGCAACCCCAAGACACATAATTGTCAGATTCACCAAGGTTGAAACAAAGGAAAAAATGTTAAGAGCATCCAGAGAAAAAGGTCAGATTACCCACAAAGGGAAGCCCATCAGACTAATATTGGATCTCTCAGCAGAAACCCTACAAACCAGAAGAGAGTGGGGGCCAGTATTCAACATTCTTAAGTAAAAAAATTTTCAACCCAGAATTTCATATCCAGCCAAAATAAGCTTTATAAACAAAAGATAAATAAAAT